TGCTGCAGAGCCCCTAACTGGTTTTCTATTTTTCCTCTAGCCCCCTTACAATCCACAAAGCAATGAAGACTTTCCAAAAACATAAATCAGGTCATGTTAACTTCTGCTTAAAACCTCCCTATGGCTTCCATTCTGTTCAGAATAAAGTCTCAATACCTTATGTGGCCTACAAGTCCTTGCATGATGCAGACTCTACTTTTTTGTTCAACTTTCCCCATCTTGCACTAAACTGTAGTTACCCTGGCCTAGAACAAGCTAAACTTGTCCTAGCTTCAGTGCCTCTGCCAGCTGTTCTTCTGCCTAGTCCTTCTTTTCTTAAATTCTCTTTCCATCTCATCCTTCATATTCTAGATTCCAGATCTCTTCTCCAAAGACCAATTCTGTCCAAAGTAAGTACTCCCTCCATTACTCTGCATCACAGCATCCTGCTTTTTTCTCATGGCTTTATCCTTGTTATTTAGGGCATCCATATGCCCCTTTCCCCACTAATATGTTACTTCATGAGAGCAGGGACCCCAATATCTTCTTTTCCATGGTATCTGTGAAACCTACAATATCGCAAAGAGCAATAACTCAATATTTGATGAATTTATAAACTGCAACTCAAAGTTAGAGAAAACAAGCTGAGTGCAGTGGTGCATGCCTATAATCCCAGGTACTCTGGAGGTAATGGACACTGAGGTAGGAATAAAAATAAATAAATAAAAATTAATTAATTAATTAAAAGGGCTGGGGATATTGCTTGGTGGCAGAGCACTCCTGGATTCAATCCCCAGTACTGAAAATAATAAATAAATAAATAGAAAACAAAAACACTACAATATCTATAAAGGAAACAAAAAACTAAATTAAATAAGTATTTTGAACACAGCACCACTAGTAATAACAACAAAAGTCTGGCCACTTAACATGAACTAAACATTGCACTAAATGTTTTATATCCAGTTTGTTTAATCCTCACAATAGCCCTCTAGGAAAGTACTAATTTCATAGACATCGAAGGAAATGAGGCTCAAGTTGCCTAGGGACCCCATAACTAAATGGCAGTAGGACTGAAGCTCTTTATCCACCCCCTGGAAAGACAGCATGGAAGGTGATGTTTTTTTCCCTGTTTTTGCATGTCTGAAAAAAAATCCTTATTTTCCCTCACATGTTTAGTGCTACTTGGGGGTTAGCATACAGAATATTAGGTTGGAAATTACCTTCCCTCAGATTGCACAGATCTGTGCCACTACCTTCTAGTTAGTAGTTTTGCTATTAGGCATGAGCTGCCATCAGGATTCTGACTCCTCCTGTGCAGCCTCAATGGGATCTACTCTTTACCCCTACTGTTCTGAGATTTTACAGTAATATACTTGGTTATAGTTTGGATTTTTTTTGGGGGGTGGGCAGGGTACTGGGGATTGAACTCAGGGACACTCAACTACTGAGCCATATACTAGCCCTGTTTAGAGACAGGGTCTCACTGAGTTGTTTAGCATCTCACTTTTGCTGAGGCTGGCTTTGTACTCGTGATCTTCCTGCCTCAGCCTCCTGAGCCACTGGGATTCAGGCATGCGACACTGCACCCACCTATACTTTAGATTTATATTGTCCCCAAGACCTATGTATTGATGGCTTGGTTGTCAGTCTAGCAAACTGTCTAGTATTACTTATTCAATAATTCCAAATTTAGGGCTGGGATTGCAGCTCAGCGGTAGAGCATTTGCCTAGCATGTATGAGGCACTGCATTCAATTCTCAGCAATGTATAAAAATAAATAAATACAAGTATTATGTCCATTTACAACGAAAAAATAAACAAACAAAAAAGACTCCCATTAGTCAGATACTAGCTTCCTAAACTGCTTCTCTAATTTTATCTGTTCTCCCAGTTTCTCTACCTCTGAATTTTTGTTCTAATTTCTAGGAGATTTCCTCAACTTTTCCCATACTCCCCCCCTTTTTTTTTTTTGGTTATTATATTTTTAATTTCTAACAGTTCCATCTTACTCTGTTGATTTTATTCACATTCTAATATCATAAATGCAATCTCTCTGAAGATAATAATTATGGTTATCCAACAGTATCTGTGGGTGACTGGTTCTAAGACCCATACAAAAAGGAACTCAGAAAAAATGGATGACAATGGAAGGAACAGAAGAAATCTTAAAAAAAAAAAAAAAAAAAGCCTGTCTAGTTGGCCCTGATTCTATGGATTCCACATCCATGGATTCATCTAACCTCAAGTGAAAATATCCAGGGGAAAAAAATATGTACTGAACATGTATAGGCTGTTTACATGTGCATCTGAGGATGTTCAGATCTCTTACACAAAATAGTATAATCTATGTACATCCTCCCATACACTTTATATCATTTCTACTTTACTTATAACCTATATTATACCTGGTATAATGTATATGCTATGTAAATAATTGTATGCTGTATTGTTTGAGGAATAATGACATGGAAGAAAGCCTGTACATGTTCAGTACACAGTTTTTTCCCCAAATATTTTCACTTGAAGGTAGATGAACCCATGGATGTGGAACCCATAGAAACAGGGCCAACTATATAGGCCTTTTTTTTTTTTTTTTTTTTTAAGATTTCTTCTGTTCCTTCAATTGTCATCCATTTTTTCTGAGTTCCTTTTAAATTTTTGTTTGTATGGGTCTATCCTTCATGTTGGAAGCTTTCCTCTCAGATGTCTGGCCAGGGCCTTTGATTCAATGCTCATATTTAACAAGGCATGTCAAGGCTGACAGAAGCTTTTTATGTTAGAGCAGAGCTTATCTACGGGTGGGCTCAGTGTACCGTAATGGGGAGGGGGTGGGGGGCCTGCCTTGGAGGATCCTCAAACATGGATTTGTACATCTTTTCTTTAAGTCAGTTCTTCTAAACAGTGTTGACCAAACTCTGCCTGGTAGGTAATCTTGGCTGGCTGCTATCGTTCTGGAAGCAGGCTGGGGAAGGGGATGTGTTTTCAGTACGGCATTGCTCCTCCATCCTGTGCTTGCTATCTCTAAGTCTGGAGCTTCTCTAGTTAAGTTGCTCCAAAGAATAAAGTTTGCTTCTTCTGTTAGGGTGGGGGAAGAGTAGGGGAAGAGTAGTCATTTGGATGTACATTTAATGGAATTGAGGAGTCCACAGATTTTCAACAAAAAGCTCTGCTTTAGTACTACTCACTTACTTCCATCTTCAAATTAACTTTTAGCTCTAATTCCTGAGCCTTCATGGAGCTATAGAAGATGAATCTGCTCCTCTTTGTCAGTGTAACCCTCTTCAGGCCTGAAGGTTCCAAGTTTTTCTGTTTTCTCTTACTCATTTATCTGCTTTCTCTTTTAAAGATATATTTATTTACATTTTGTATTATCTCTTGTCTCCTTTCCTGTTCTCCTTTGACTTTATGGGTTTATCCCTTTTTATTCTTCTGCTTCTGAATTTTAAGAAGAAAGTGAAGATAATACATTGTTCTACCATTTCAATCAGTATTTAGGTATCACTTCTTACCACCCTTCAACTGTTTATTGATCATTATTAACATAATTCTGGTTGCCAGTGGTTATATTTTTTTTGGGGGGGATAGGTATTGGGGATTGAACTCAGGGGATCTCAACCACTGAGCCACATCCCCAGCCCTATTTTGTATTTTATTTAGAGACAGGGTCTCACTGAGTTGCTTAGGGCCTTGTTTATGCTGAGGCTGGCTTTGAACTCGCAGTCCTCTTGTTTCAGTCTCCCAGCCACTGGGATTACAGGTGTGCGCCACTGCCCAGTTTGTCAGTAATTATAATTTAGATAACGAAACAAAGAAACAAAAGATGGGTTTTCCTGAAGCATCTGCTCAAGAGTTAGAAGAATAAAGATTAAAGAAGTAAGAGTGAAATTTAAAGAGGCCATATACATCCAATGAGAGCAGAGAATACGTAGCCCGTGAACAACCAATATATCACTAATTAAACCAGGTATAGTGTAAAGCTTGGCACAGTCTGAGTTGCTGGAAGGGTTAAAAGAGGAGGTGGAGATATACAGCTTCCTGCACTCACCATCAGGTGGAACTGTCAGCCCAGGCAGCTTTGTGTCTGGAGTGCAGCCATTGGGTTGGAAAGGAAGAAAGCCAACTGTAGGGTTTTTGTATCTGCAAGTCAGTCACAAGGCTACTTTGGAAAATGGCTTCCAGGATGTGTTGTGTGAAGAATTGTTATTTGACAATAATGATGCACTGGGTAAACCCACAGGATAGGGCTGGGGATGTGGCTCAAGCGGTAGCGCGCTCGCCTGGCATGCGTTCGGCCCGGGTTCGATCCTCAGCACCACATACAAACAAAGATGTTGTGTCCGCCAAAAACTAAATAATAAGTATTAAAATTCTCTCTCAAAAAAAAAAAAAAAAAAAAAGAGAGATAAACCCACAGGATAGATATAGCCACATTAGTTGATCCCAAACCCCAGCTACCACCTAGAATTCTCCAGACTTATTGGATCAGAATTTCTAGGGATAGAGCCATTTTTAGTGAATTTCCCAGCTGTTCTGAAGTATAATTCAGTATGTAAACTAAGGAACAAAAATACACTCCCAAAGTGATTCTGTATATTTTTAAATAATCAAACACATTTGAATAGTTGGGGATACTGATGTAAGAATGGCTAACCTCTCCCTGCTGACAACATAAACAATCTGTCCTCCAAATATTAATAGTTAATTTCCTGGGCTTAGTACTATCTAGATGCTGTTTTATTTGTTAATGATGGTGTTTTATTTGTTATCATTATATTTTTCCCATAGCAAAATGCCTTTTTCTTTCTTTTTTAAAAATTAATGTCATTGTTAGAGCAATTTTAGGTTTACAGTAAAACAGAATAGATAGTGCAGAGCTAGTTATAAAAAAATGTCTTATTTGAGAACTGGAGCTATAGCTTCATAGCTATAGCTCCATCCAGCTAGCATGCATAAGGCTCTAGGTTCAATTCCCCAGCACAGATAAAAATAAATAAATAAATAATAAAAACAGCTCATACCGTTCTTGAACAGCTTTGGAGTAAGCCCCAGCATTCAGTGTTTTTCTGATAAAGTCACAGATGTGAGAGCTCTCTCCTGGGCATCGAGGGAGTCCAAAAACACCTAAAACAGCAAAAGACATAACATCCATTCCTTCAACAATCATGTCCTGGATCTAATATGTTCAAGGCACTAGAATAAAGAAAAACCAACAAAAGCCAGACCTTAATCTCATTAATTTCTCCCTCAAGAAAGTGAGTTATTGAGAACTAATATAACCAGCTTCATCCTGGTGCTATTATGATTTGGATCTGGAATGTCCCCTGAAAATCTCATGTGTTAGGCAATACAGCAATGTTCAGAGATGAAAAGACTGGCTTATGAGTTGATTAATATATCTGATGGACTGAAAATCGGAATAGACAACTTGGTGGTAACAATAAGCAGGAGGAGCAAGACTGGAGCAATCAGGTCACCAAGGGCATGGCCTTGGGGATTCTTTCTGTCCTAGAACCCCTTCTTGTTGTCTCTGCTCTCCAGCTGCCATGAGCTGAGCAGTCTTCTTCTGCCATGCCTTTCTGCCAAGATGTTTCTGCCTCAGAGCCAGCCAACCATGGGCTGAGACCACTGAAACTATGAGCCAAATAAACTTTTTCATCTCTAAATTGTTCTTGTCAGTTATTTTGATCACAGTGACAAACAGCTAATGAATGCTTAGTCCCACATTCTTTGTTGACTAAGGACCTCTGCACCTGCTCTGCACCTGCTCTTTCCTAGAGGATGTGCTGCTTCTGTACTCTACCACATGGCTAGACTCATTCTCATCTCCTGGGTCTTAGCTTGTGGATGTCAGACTATCCACTATGTGAGGTGGTGCCTGTTCCCATTCTCTTTCCCTCCCCCAGTTATACTTTTATTCTCAGCATCCTCATCAATAACTTTTTTGGGGAGCGAGGGGAAGGTACTGGGAATTTAACTAGGAGCATTTTACCACTTAGCTACATTCCCAGTCATTTTTATTTTTTATTTTGAGACAAGAGTCTCGCTAAGTTGCTTAGGACCTCACCAAATTGCTAAGGCTGGCCTTATATTTGCTATCCTCCTGCCTCAGCCTCCCAAACTGCTGGGATTACAGGTGTGCAAGCCACTGTGCCCAGCCATCAATAACTTTTTTAAGTACCAAGCATAGTTCTAAAGCATAGTCATTCCTTGGTATCTATGGGGAACTGCTTCCAGGACCCTCCTGAGGTCATCAAAATCTATGGATGTTCAAGTTCCATGTATAAAACTGTGTAGTATTTGCATATAACCTATATACATCCTCCCATATACTTCATTTAAAAAAATTTTTTTTGAGGTGCTAGAGAATGAACCCAGGGCTTTGCATACTAAGCATACCCTCTACCACTGAGTTATGTTCCTAGATTCCCTATAGATTATAAATCATCTCTAGATTACTTATAATACCTAAAATAATGTAAATACTATGCAAATAGTTTTTATGTTTAGAGAATAACAAGAAGAAAAAAAAGCCTGTATGTGTACAGTACAGATGCAATTTTTTTCCCCAAGTATTTCCAGTCCACAGTTGTTTGAATTCACAGATGTGGAGCCCACAGATTCAGAGGGCCAACTGTGTTGACAATAATTAATCTTCCCCATGGCCCTCCAGAATAGACATCCTTTTTTCCCCATATCACAGAGAAAACTTTAAAGAGAGGTTAAATACCTCATCCAAGGTCACACAACACTGGTTACAACAAGGAGTTTAACACAGGTAGCTTGGCTCCAGAGCCCCTCCATAAATATTTGTTGAATGAATGATAAAAATGTCTTTTTTACCAACGTGTATATGTAAAATTCTTATACTTTTGAAAAGTATTTTCCCACCCACCATTTTACTTCAGTCTCTGAAAAATTCCCAGAAAATAGACAAGGCCTTGTTTACTTTACCTCATCTGTGAAAGGAACCTAAGATACACTGATATGCCCATGAGTAACAGTTAATAGTGTCAGTCCAGCTTTTCTGAATACACGAAGAATTCTCTTGTTCCTGAACAGTTACATTCATCAGAATAGAGATAAAATCCTATTCCAAAGATATATCCTTCCCCCCAAATATGTAATTCAAACTAGAAAACCTAATGTTTTTCAAAGGGTTTAATCTATATTGTTAAATTTATGACCAAAAAAGGCTTATACACACTTTTTTTCCTTAAGCCCAAATTCAATAGCATAGCACCAACACCAGAAAACAGGAAAATTCATTATATTTTCCTAACTCCTTAAGTGCCACCTGCCATGTGGCTGCAACCAACTCACCTGCACATAACATCAGTTAAATTGGAGAACAATAAATGGCAACCTAATGATTCACCTGTGTAACTGGGCTCTGGAATCCTGAGTCTCTTCCTATTTCTCATCAGTGCTGGCTAGTTTGTCACAAGCTGCAGAAACAGGATTTTACAAAGATGGCTGACTTCTTATGCAAACAGAGCTGCTAGATTTTTAAAAATCAAGTGGTCTTGTGGGTTAGAGCAGAGAAAGAAGGAAATAAAGTGGTCAAAGTTACCTTGATGTTGTCCCCCAACTGAGATGAGATTGATCATGGGAGGTGATGGGCATCTCTGAGCCACTGCCCTCCTGGGGATTAAAAAAACAAAAAAAAAGCGGGAGGTGGGGAGAGATTATCAATGCTGGCAGATGAAAATGTATCATCATCAGTTAGCATCATAGATTAAGCTACTTAATACCCAACTGTGCCCCCAAAAAACTATTATAAGACTTTCCTCTACCATGGTCAAACACAAAACCTTTTTTTGTTGTTGTTGTTTTTCTCATAGAAAGTACATTATGTTCCCATGTTCTTACATGGCTACATTTTAGAATAATTTTCTTTCTAAGACAGGGAAGGATCCCAAAAGAATTAGAGGAAAGAATTTATCTGAATATAAGAAAAAAATCAATTCCATGCAAGTAGCAATATATATCAGAGAAGGACTTACAGAAATTGGCCTCCCTGGGAGAATCCCATAGCATTGTAACCTTGCTGCAATTTAGGATCTTCAGCAAGAATCTGGCATACTGTTGTTACTTGGGAATTGACATTCAAGAAGAAGCTGTTCTCCACATCCTAAAAAAGGAGTCACAGACAAGTGAAAGGATGGGACTGAAGCAACCACTAGCAACTGCAAGAGGTGACCTCAAGTTGGCACTTTCACACAAGCCGTCCAGAGTGAAGGTGTTCTTGTATAATTTGCTTCTGAAAATGCAATGTGAAACATTCTAACAGCACATTCAGTCAGCAAGCCTTCAAGGAACAGAGTAGCAAAGGGCCTTACCTCTATCATGGTCTTTCCAATCTCTAAAGACAAGACGTAAATTCCAGGTATTTTCTTCTCAACCATTTTTTTAATAGCACCCATGCTTAAGGGATTACAACAGCTGTCTCCTAGCCAACAAAAACAATGATGGAAATTCATGAATCAAAACATTACTTACTTTTTAAAACTTTTGTGCCTCAAAGGGCATTATCGAGAATATGAGAAGGAAACATACAGAATGGGAGGATATATTTGCAAGACATATATCTGAGATGGATTTCCAGAATATATAAAAAAAATCTTTACAATAAGATAATGTAATTTTTGAAATGTGAAAAGGCCAGGGGAGGCAGCAACATGTAATCCCAGCAACTTCAGGAGGCGGAGGCAGGAAGATTGCAAGCTCAAGGCCAGCCTCAGCAACTTAGCAAGAACTTGTTTCAAAATAAAAAATAAAAAGGGCAGGAGATGTAGCTCAGTGATAGAGCAGTCATGGGTTCAATGGCTAGTACTACACACACACACACACACACACACACACAAAAGGACTCTGACATTTCTCCAAATAAGATCTTATAATGGGCAACAACAAATATCATTGATCATTAAGGAAATTCAAATCAAAACAACAATGAAGTACAAATTCTTACTCATCTAGATTGCTTTAATAACAACTTTTCTAAAAAATGGAAAGTAAGTGTTGTCAAGGACATAGAGAAATAGAAACCATCATATATTGCTGGTGGAAATGTAAAAACAAAGCCACATGGAAAAGTTTGGCAATCTCTCGAATAAATAAATAAATAAATAAACAGACAATTACCAAATGACCCAGCAATTCCAACTCCTAATTATATACTCAAGAGAAATGAAAACATACATCAATACAGAAACTTGCACACAAATGTTTACAGTAGTATTACTGGTAATAGCCAAAAGGTGGAAACAAGCCAAATGTCCATCTTATGGATGAATGAATTAACAAACTCTGGCATATTCTTTTTTTTTTTTTTTTTTTGGTGCGGGGGCACCAGGGATTGAACACAGGGCACTATACCACTGAGACACATCCCCAGCCCTTTTTATTTTTTGAGACAGGTCTCACTTAATTTCTTAGGGCCTTGCTAGTTGCTGAGGCTGGCTTTGAACTTGTAATCCTCCCAAACTGCTGGGATTACAGGAGTACGCCACCACGCTCAGCCTGGAATATTCATTTGATGGACTATTATACAGTCATAAAAAAGAATAAAGTATTGACATATGCTACAACTTGAATGAACCTCAAATACATTATGCTAAATGAAATAAGTCCAACACAAAAAGTCACAGTCCTATAGTTCCTTTTATATGACATACCCAGAATAGACAATCCCATAGATACAGAAAGTAGACTGTAGGTTACCAGGGGTGGTAGGAGGGGAAATGAAATGATTACTTAATGGCTGGCATGTTGAAAATTTTTGAAACTAGAGATAAGTGGCGCTTGTTTGACACTGTGAATACACTAAATACTACTGAATGCTGTACTTTTAAATGGTTAACTTTATGTTATATGAATTTCATCTTAATAAAAAGATTAAAAGAATACTTTTTTGCCCTCTACCAGTTTATCAAATAATAACACACTTCAAAGGCCTGCATGATATACTTGAGACACTAAATTTACAATTGAAAACTAAGCAGAGGTATACATTCCCCCTCCTTTACCATAAGGGACATTTTAGGCAAAGAAAGAAAGATTTCTCTTTATAGCCAAGATTAGGGTAAGGCAAGTGAAGCACCTAGCACAAAATTTAAGGGGGTACTCACTCTCCAGTTCCTTCCAATTGCCAACCCTTCACTTATAAAAAATTGAAAGCAAGAGCTTCCTTAAATTTGCATTCTAGCTGCTTCCTAGACTCATCCTAGTCCCAGACTTGTTTCTCTTCCCATTAAGGATCCATAACTAAGAACGGAAGAAAACTCAGTAGAGAAGTGGACTGAGATCATTTTCCCATTTTTCACTTAATAATTCCATTTTCAATCTTAGAAGAAGCTTAAGTACCAGTTTAAAGAAGGAAAAACTATGGCCTGGAGAATCGTCTATTTCTCTCCCAACAACATTCATCACACTGACCTGTTTATTGTTGGCTACTGAACTGCCTCCCTTGTGACTGACCGCAAGTACTGGGAGAGCAGGAAGCATGTATCTTGTATCTTCTTTTAACCTCACTGTAGTAGCTCCTAGCTTGAAATGGAGTCTTAAAAGAGCTGTCCACGTTTGCTGACTCTAATTCCTTTCTGAACATGTTTTTAATCTGTTCCAGTAAAGCTCTATTACCACTTTCCCCCAAAACTGTTTTTGTCAAGATCATGAATGATCTTCACGCTGCTCAATACAATAACCAGTTCTCAGCCCTCATCCTACTTAATCCATCAACAACATGTGATACAGTTGATTGTTCCCTTCCTCTTGAAACATTTTCTTCCCTTGGCTTCTGGAACACTGCAGTGTCCTGACTTCCTTCCACCTTGTCTCCCTTGCTAGTTCCTCCTCATCTCCTCCACCTCCAAATGCTTTAATGCCTCAAGGTTCAGTACTCTGTCTACACTCACTCCCTAGGTGATCTCACATAGTCTCAAGGATTTAAATGCTAGTCAGATGCTGAAGGCTCCTAACTGAAATCTCCAGCCTGTATCTCTCACCTCCACTAGATGCTCTTATGTCTCTATGACATCTCCCAGTTGTATAACAAAGATCTCACATTTAGATAAGTCCAAAACCAGATTATATCTGGGGGAGGGGGGCGTGTAAAGGCGTGCACCACCACACCCAGCTCAAAACCAGATACTTGATTGTTCCTCATCCCAAATTTGCTCACCCTACAGGCTCCCCCACCTTGGTGAAATGACAACTTCAGCTGGGTGTGGTGGCACACACCTGTAATCCCATCAGCTTAGTAGGCTAAGGCAGGAAGATCACAAGTTCAACGCCAGCCTCAGCAAACTTAGCAAGGTTCTAAGCAACTTAGTGAGACCCTGTCTCAAAATAAAAATAAAAAGAGCTAGGGAATATGGCTCAGTGATTAATGCCCCTTGGTTCAATCCCCAGTACAACCTTCTAGTTGTTCTGGCTAAAACCTGTGGTCATCTCTTGACTCTTGTGTCACATCTAAATCCCAAAGTTTCCACCTTCAAAAGAGACCTGTACTTTGACCACTTCCAACACCTCCACTGTTAATACACACAGATCCAATCCCCATGATCTCTTTATGTTATTGCAATAATAGCTTCCTATCTTGTTTCCCTGCATGACCCCGAGTCTACTCTCAATACAGCAACTTCAGTTAAAATGTAAGTCAGATCATGTCACCCATATGTAGAAAAGGTTCCTGTCTCACTCTAGCCAAAGTCCCCTTGCTCACTCAGTTCCAGCCACACTCATCCAAATATTGCTCCTTGCATATACAGGACATAATTGTGTCTCGAGGCCTTTGCATTTGCTGCTGTTCCTTCTACCAGACATCCAAATGACATCTTTTCTTATCCACTTCTGGTCAGTGAATCCTTTCCTGGCTTTGCTTTATAAAAGTACGGGATATCACCTTCCCTCTCTATCCTCCCCACTTTGGTTTTCTCCATTGTACCTGTTACCATTTGACATATGAACGTTTTACTTATTTATTCTTTTACAAGCTGTCTCTCCTACTGCAAAGTAAGTTTCAAAAAGGCAAAGATTAGACTTTTTCATTCAATGCCGTATCCTCTGTGCGCAGCAGATGCTCGCTAATATGCTGGATGTATAATGCAGAGCCTAACGAATTTCGATTCAATGTGTGAACGAATAAAAAGGATGGATGCACCGCTCAGGTAGGAAAGACCAGCAAGCCTGAGCAAGTTCAAGACGCTGCACGCTGTGCAACTGCTGCAAGGATGACAGAGACAGCCTAAGACCCCGTCGCAGTACACAGCTATGAGCGCTCACTCCCGCACAGCCCCTTTCCCTTCTCCCGGTGCAGAGCAGCGCCCCAAATCCTAAAACGGACGGGTACTGGGGAATCACTGTCCTCGCCCTCCACACCCTCATTTTGCAGACGTGAACCCGGAGAGCCACCAAAGGCTTGGACCCTCCTCGCTCACTCACCCATCCCGTGCCAGATCACCAGCGGCAGCGGCAGCGGCGGCTCGAGATGCCCCAGTGCCCGGGCAGCGCAGGACCAGGGCAGCAGGGCGACAGCCAGAAGCCACAAGAAGCCGGGCGCCGCCATCTTGGCTGTCACATGATCGCGGGCGCACTGTGCCAAGAACCGCACTCTGGCCGGGGCGGGGCCGCCGCGGGCTGCGCTGGTTCTGGTACTGCCGCGAGGTGCGCGCCAGGGGGACAGTTCCCGGCGACCACGCCCCCATCAGGGTTCCGCGGCCACCACCACAAACCAAAAATATTGCTAACGTTTATTCAGCGCTTGCTGCATACCAGGTACCATGCTTTACATCCTTTCCCTGGTTAAATCCTCTTAACGCTATACACTTCTTACCATTTTACAGGTAAGAACACTGAGGCCCTGGGAAATTGGGTAAATTGCCAAGATCACAGAGAGAGCAGCAAATTGGTGGGGTCCAGAGTCGTTGCTCTTCGCCACTGCACCATGCTGCCATTGGAAGGAAATGCTCTGTGGAAGGAAGAGAGGAAGAAAGGACTCAGCCTTGTGTTTGAAATGGAAGGGGAGACATCATTTCCAGCCAGGACTAATCATGACAGGGGTGGTGTTTATTCTGGATCATGAAGGAAAGCTAGGATTTCAATAGGCAAATAGGACATTTGGGAAAGGACTGACATGAGCCCTAGCTCCCTAGAGGAGAGAGAGTAGGCGTATTTTCTAGAAATGCCAGGGCTACCAGTCTAACGAGAGCATCTGTGGGCTGCTGAAGAGTGAAATTTACTGCCACTTCCAAGTCTATTCTCAGAGCTGGATTGTTGCAAGAGGCCCTCATCAACCATGACCCCTTTTCCATCCTCCCCTCTTCAATCCATTTTATGTTCTATTGCTGGATCCTCTTTCTTAGACCACTTCACCATCTCAATTCCCTGCTCTTACTCACCCACCCACCACCACCACCACCCCAGAAAAACATCAAAAATTGTTTTAAAGCAATTTTAGTGAGACCGCGTCTAAAAATGAAAAAGCAGGGCCTGGGGATGTAGCTTACCCTTTATGCGTGAGGCACCAGGTTCCATCCTCAGCACCACATAAAAATAAATAAATAAAATAAAGGTATTGTGTCCACCTACTTCTTTAAAAAAATGTTAAAAAAAAAAAAAAAAAAAAAAAACAGCAAAAAGGGCTGGGGATGTAGCTCGGTGGTAAAGTGCCCCTGGGTTCAAGCCCCACTAACAAAACAAACAAAACAAAATGCAAATGGTTTTAATAAGGAAGCTGTTACAATGGAATACTATGAGGCTGGCTTTTCACAAATGAGGTAGATACGGTGACATGAAAATTTTTCTCAATATATTATAAAGGAAAAAATTTGTTAGACATGAAGCCCTTCCATCTGGTGCAATTACAACTAGTAGGTGCCGGTTGAAAATTCCATTAAAATGCAGAATCATATAGAATTATTCAATATGCAGTTTTGTTTATCTAAAGAAAAGTAAACTTATTATATATTGTAAGTATTTTCTTTTAAATTTAAGGCCTATAAATGTAAAATCTTTCACCAATCTTTTTAGATTGAGTTAGGCCCTTTCTATGATTATGGTACCTCTGAAGCATTTCTTGAAATGATTTGTTTCTTACCTTTAATGAATCATCTGTGGTTTCTTTAAAGATTTTATTAAACTGAAGTGATATTTGAAAGACACTTGTAAAACAATTCAAATGCAAAATTATTCTGGATGATCCTAGTGTTTCCACTTACAGATTTCTCACCCAGACCTTATTTAACAATTTTTTAGCAATTTGCCTTTAGCAAGCCATTCCAAAGCATCCAATTTAGTGGTTTTGTTGGTTTTTTTTTTTTTTTTTTTTCTTTTTTCTTTTGGTACTAGGGACTTAACCCAGCAGCACTTAACCACTGAGTCACATCCTCAGCCCTTTTGTATTTTTATTTAGAGACAGGGTTTCACTGAGTTGCTTAGGGCCTTTCTAAGTTGCTGAGGCTGTCTTTGAACTCAAGATCCTCCTGCCTCAGCCTCCCAAACCACTGGGATGGCAGGCATGCACCACTGCACCTGGCTCCAATTTAGTTTTTGCAGAGAAATCTCTTTATATTCATATTTCAAGTGTTTCCACAAATCTAAATTACAGTAGAGGGCTGGGGTGGTGGCTCAGCGGTAGAGTGCTCGCCTAGCATGCATGAAGCACTGGGTTCGATCCTCGGCACCACATAAAAACAAACTATTGTATTCACCTAAAAACTAAAGATACATAAATAAATGAATATTTAAAAAATAAATAAATAAATTACAGTAGAAAATATCACTGATATATAAGTGGAATATCAATTGGCATTTGGTAGGCACTCAGGCAACAGGAATAGAACTATCAGAAGTTGCCAAAAGAAGTTTTGTAGTCATGTTTATCATGCTGTTGGCATCAATAAGAAATTTTGGAATTGGCAGTAGGTTGAATAGGGATTAAGAAAGTAACAATGTATCTATGTACCTATATACAGAGATGGTTGCACAATCATTGGAGTATACAGATAAAATAAGTGTATTTTATGACTTGTAAAATATGCCTCAACAAAACTGTTCTTTAAAAAAAAAAAAAAAGACATCTAGGGCTGGGGTTGTGGCTCAGTGGTTGAGCACTTGCCTTGCATGTGTGAGGCATTTGGTTCGATCCTCAGCACCACATAAAAAATAAATAAAATGAAGATATTGTGTCCATCTACAACTAAAATAAAATATTAAAAAAGACATCTATATATTCATATATTTCTAGTGGGCATTGACAAGAAAAATGAAAATAGATGTATAAAGTAGATGTATATCTGGAGACTTTAAAGTTCTTCTTTTTTTTTTTTTTTTTTTTTCAGTTTTCGGTGGACACAACATCTTTGTTTTATTTTTATTTTTTATGTGGTGCTGAGGATCAAACCCAGCGCCCCGCGCATGCCAGACGAGCCCATTACCACTTGAGCCACATCCCCAGCCCCTATTCTTTTTTTTTTAATATTTATTTTTTAGTTTTAGGTGAACACAATATCTTTATTTTGTTTTTATGTGGTGCTGAGAATTGAACCCAGTCCCTCACACATGCTAGGCGAGCGCGCTACCACTTGAGCCACATCCCCAGCCCAAAAGTTATTCTTTTTTAATACTTTTTTTAGATGTAGATGGACATAATACCTTTATTTTATTTATTTATTTTTATGTGGTGCTGAGGATCAAACCCAGTGCCTCACAAGTGCTTGGCTAGTTACAAAGGATATGTAACTTTTATAATCACAAAAAATAAAGATATATGCATATTAAAAAGTAGTGCATGTAAACATGCTGCACCTGTGTGAGGGTGGCGCCTGATCTTGTTTGGGCACCTGGGAGAAGCTTGCACTCTCCTCCCTGGTGCTGGCAACACCCCCATCCCCCCAAAGACAGAAGCCAAGGCAGCTGAATGGGGAAAACCCACTGAACTTCTATGTTAAGAAATGGAGTAAATTGAGACTCATTTTGTAGCTGAGTATTTGGT